TGTTTTCTATAGAACTTCGAGATTAAAATGTTAAATGATCGTAAGTTTAGACGTGCTTTCTTCCCAAAAGAAAGCCACATAAAAGGGTGATTTAGACAGAAAGTGAACAAATTACTTCAGCAGACACCCCCTGGGCAGGTGCTGTGCATCAAGTCCTGTGGAGTCAGACACGAATAAGCCCCAGTGCCGCCCTCCTGAGCTCAGGTGTCAGCAGGCGGGGGTGGGGGTGGGGGTGGGGGGTCGTCCACACAGGCACACAGACCTCCAGGAAGAGCCCCCAGCACACAGCCAACCCCTGTGCAGGGAGGGAGGGCAGACAGTCTGCATCCCAGTCACAGGGTGCACTTGTTCTGGAAGCCCCAGGAGGAAGACACTCTAAGCCTTGAGCACCCAGGACACTGGGTTCTTACCTGAGGTGGGAGCCCCATCCCCAGTTTGTGGGGCTTGGCACTCAGGCAGCAGTGCTGAGACAGGGCCGGGGCCCAGCTTGGTTGAGCCCAGGGTGGACAGCACCCTCTCCTGCCTCCAGGAGCACCGCACACAAGCCTGCAGGCCCTGTGCAGGTGGTGGGCTCGCAGCCTGGCAACATCTCCCACCCCCCCATGAGGCCCTGACTTAGCAGGCAGGGTGGGGCTGGAAGCCCTTCCAGTCTGGGCACTCAGGCCATAAAGAACAGCCCCAGGAGGGCGCCTGGGTGGCTCCATCAGTTAACATCTGCCTAGGATGGACAGGAAGCCTGCTTCTCCCTCTCCTCCCTGCTCGTGCTCTCTCCCACTATCTCTGTCTCTATCTCGCTCTCAAATAAATACAATCTTTAAAAAAAAGAAGAACAGTCCGAAGACTTCCAAGGTCTCCGGCCTGTCTTTCCCTGCGAGTACAGCGTGTCTCGGTTATCTGAGCCCACACCCTAACTCCATATGCTCAAGACTCCGCACCATTTCCAGACGCACTATACTTCAGGCCGCAGCTGGTTTGGACCCTCTCTCGGAGTTTTCCCTTGCAGTGGCTGAGTCGCCGCCACACAACACCCTCCTTGACTGCTCTTTCAAGTCCCACGTGCACCGGATCCAGCCTTGCCTGCGGTCCTGGCTGCCCAGCGTGTCCCGGCATTCCGTGTCTAATACATAACTTTGTTGTAAACTGGTTGTCTTCTAGCTCTCTTTAACGTTCTAGCAAGAACATCGTATTGGTTTTTGTAACTGTCTGAATAGGCAGCTTACGTTATCTCCGAAAATGTTCCAGGAGAGAACACAGAGTGTTAGAAGCTCTCTCTCACGGGAGAGCTCTGGAAGGCTGAGAATCCAGGAGCTGACGAACAGGCGTGTGCTGAGAGGAAGGAGGCATGGGCGGCCAAACCAGCACCCACGCATCTTGCCCAAGAGAGCTGCCATGGGCAGACTGGGCCTCCCAAAGTACGTCCACATCCTATCCCTCAGATCCTGTGCACGTGCCCTTATTTGGATAAAGGGTCTTTACATACGTAATCAAGTTAAGGATCCTGAGATGAGAAGGTCCTGGACTTAAGGTGATGCCAGGTGCCCTTAAAGAGAAGCAGGGGGATATGTGAGACACAGACACACAGGGAGAGGCCACGAGGAGACGGAGCCGGACATGGGAGTGAAGCGGTCACAGGCCCAGGGGCGCCTGGAGCCCCCAGGAGCTGGAAGAGGCAGGACGGAGCCTCCCTGAGCCTCTGGAGGGAGCATGGCCTGGCCTACGCCTTCCTGTCAGACCTCTGGCCTCCGGGCCTGGGGCAGGGGAAGCTTCTGCTGCACAGTGTGTGGTTCTCCGTCACAGCAGCACCAGGAATCAACGCGCATCCCTCAGAGCAGCCAGGGGGCTCTTTTGTCTTTTGATTTGCGGAGGTCTCGCACCCACCAATAAACCTCTATGAATGTTGTTCTCAGAAGACTTTAAAACCACAATACAGCTTTTCGTCAGCACAAGAAGGGGTATGTGCCAGTGACCCCAGGCTCCTCCACCCAAAGCTCATCACACACCCATCCCCCTGAAGCATGAGGACAGACCCTCACTCACCTCGGACCGTCCTCAGCCAGTCCACGTTGGAAGCTTCCAGCACCTCCGGGTCTGTGACGACCCTGCCGGGGATGATGCGTTCAAAGGCTGCCAGGTCTTCCTCAGACACCACGGAGAATGGCAGCCGCGTCACGGGGTAGCGCTCCTGGGTCAGCACCACCTCGGGGGCACAGGGGGATGTGGATGAGCCGCTTCTGCAGGCCAGGTGTCTGGTGCCCGTGGCCCCCCAAGGGCTGAGCAGGCTGGGGATCCTGGACGCCAATGCCCATGTCCTGGGCTGCACAGAGGCTCCCCGAGCGCACACCACCTGCCACCGGAAGAGCCGCACCAGCTGCCTGGGCACCAGATGGGGCACCATCGCTCCTGCCCTAAAAAGCAAGTGATAGGACCTGCAACTCCGGAATACTACCGAGAGGAAGCCCAGCGCGGCCCAAGTCCAGGTCGGGTCCAGGAAGAGAGGTGTCTTCCAGGGTGAGGCAGTGAGGTTTCGGCCTCCAGGAGAGGCGCGCTGGGGGGCATGGGGGACAGAGGCCCTGGGCGAGCTGCCCTTGAGCCTGACCCAGGGACGGGTTTCCCTCCTGGGAATTCACTGCGCGGCCCACGCTGGCTGGAGCCGGCTTGAGTCCGATTCTAACATTGGCAATAACATAGCTCCCTCTTAACCCCTCCTGCTTCAGCACAAAACCAGGGTCTAAGGCACTGAAAAGGACGGATGCCACTGAATTATGCAACTTAAAATGGTTCAAATGGTAAATTCTGTGTCTTATGTACACATTGTCACGGAGTTTAAAAAGTGCAGAAATTAAAAGCAAGGGTGGGGAAGGGAAGCTTCCCCGGCTGCCGGCCGCGCTGCGGGCGGGCCCCGCACCTGCACCAGCTGGCCCGCCCAGCCGCCCGGGCGAGGGACAGGGGCCAGGGCGGCGCCCCTCCGCGGGCTCCTCCGGCACTCGGCGCTCCGGCCACCCGAGCCGGAACCGGGGCAGTGCTGCCCTCGGGGCTCGCGCCCGCCCTGTGCCCCCGGGAAAGCGAGCGCGGCTCCCCGCCGGAGGAGAAGGCCGTCGGGGCAGCCCTCGGGGCCGAGGGCCGGGACCCGGGGCCACCCACGCCGGGGAAGGGACGCAGCCCCGCGGGCTCGCACTGGAGCACGGCCTTGGGTCGCGACGCCCCCGCCGCCCCGCGGCCCCGCGGCCCCGGCCCCGGGCGGCCGCGCGCGCGCACTCACGTCCGCGCGCCCGTCCCGCCGCCGCCGCCGCCGCCAGCGCCGCACGCCCGACCCAGGACCGACTGAGCCTGCGCACTGGCGTCCTCCGTCCCCGGCCCGGCCCCGCCCCCGCTAGGCCCCGCCCTCCACGGGACAGGAGACCTTCCAGGCCCCGCCCCCTGCCCTGCGGGCGGCTCCTGCGCCCGGCGCGTCATTGGGCCCGTGTCGGACCACGGGACAGCCGACCTTGACCCGTGTGCCCGGCAAGGTTCCACGCACACTCTCCCAGCCCTTCCCGAGGGCCGGCTCTACCGTAGCCCACCCTGACCGCCCCCTTCCTCGTTCTGCTGCGGGGCTCCCTCCAGGGAACTCTGCCCCCCACTCTGCTACCCCCTGAGAACTGTCCCCCCTCCCCGCAGAGCTCTGCCCCCAGCAGGGAACTCTGCCCCCCCCAGGGGTCTCTGGCTACCCCCTGAGAACTGCCCCCCCTCCCCACAGACCTCTGCCCCCAGCAGGGAACTCTGGCTCCCAAGCACCCAGCACCTTGCCCTGACCCCACCTCCAGCCAAAGGGCAGATACTCCAGCAAGTCGGGTAGGCATCACAGGCAGAGCCCACAAAGCTCAGAAAGCGTCCGGTGCACACAGCCTGAACCTTTTCCTGAACAAAGACCCAGAGCTGGGACTCAAGTGCGAAGAGGTCAGAGGGGCCGCACCAAGGCTGGGTGACACGGACACCAGGACCCAGACCTGGCAGGAACGCTGCTCTCACAGCCCCTCCACAGCTGGCCGCCCTGGGCTCTGGCACGCCCTCGACCTCTGGCCTGTGGGGCCTGTTAGGCCTCTGACCTGAGGAAGACAAAGGCGGGGGAGGCCCGCTGGGTGTCCCTGTGGCATCACCCCCAGTGCTGTGACAGCTCCCCGCCTCGTCACGTTCCATTCAGGGGTGCCAGCCACCACCGGGCAGCGCGCTCCCCTCCGGCGTGAGACCCAGCTCCACAGGGCACCCCCTTCCCTGCTCCCCACCTTACCCAAAGCGGTGCAGCCAGCCCCCCAGCTCCGAATCCTAATCAGTGCCCCCGCTACAAGCACACGGGTCTGTGGACACACTCAGACAGATGTTACCGGTCACTTGATCACGGACCAGTCGACCAGGGGCATCGTGGACCTCTGGGACTCAGCAACCTCTCAGAGCCAGTGAAGATTACCACACCCACCCCAAAACAACACACTGGTGTTCCCTTTTCCTAGGCAGTCACCCCCACAAATGGCTGCAAGCACCCTTGGAAGGCCCAGAGGGAAATTCCAGGCCCTTCCTCCAGAACCTCACCCTCCCTCCAGCAAGGACTCTGGGTCTGTGAATTGGTTGTCATCTGGAAAACAGGTCAGAGCCTGGGCCTCTCCGTCGTCGTGACCAAGCTGGGTTTCAGGACCCTGACCATTAACACTCCTCAAGGAAAAATGTCCTAAGTACTATTTAGTTCCCAAAGGGGTCTTCACACCTGTGCAGATTTGGGAGGGCAGACCTTCTGTTCCAGAGAAAGCACTTTATGCCTTTATAAAACAGCAACTCAAAGTATTCTACACAGACGTTTCTTGTGGGCTCAGGCACCAGCTCCTGACACCGCGGCAGCTGAGGCCGGGACTGGCCCGGGCCCATGGCAGCCAAACACCTCTCCTCCCGTTCACTGCACACCCCTTTACAGTTCAACGGAGGGTATACTTACCATCTCTGGCCAAGCACTGAGGTCTCATCACTTCCTAGAATGACTCCTCAAACGTTTGTTCCAAAAAATACTTTATTTATTAAACAATATATCCATAATCTATAACATGATCCAAAAATACAGATATACATCTTTACATTATTTAATAAAAAGATTTACAATATTATCTTTCCTTTACAAAGGGAACATAGATAATTCCTTGAAAATAAAATGTAACATTCGTGTTAAAGCTGCATCATCTTTTTGGATGAAATGTGGTAAAAGTGAACACCACAAAATACATTTGTAGGAAGAAAGAAACTTCACAGAACTCTCTCCTGAATGAGAACATTTTTCTTAGACTTTGTTTTAAAACTCCTCTCGGCACAGGTAACAAGGACCAGTCATGGCTCACTAACAACGGAGGAAAACCTCCTATCTCCAAGGCCCACGGCCAGTGTTCCGACTTCCAGCCGCGGCCACACGGGGAAGCTGCTCTCCGGAGAGTGTTATTGCTCGAGGCAGACCCTGCCAGGGCTACCAGCTACCAGTCGGGAGTGCCGCGTGGCCACCCGGGACGAAGCCACCGTCCCCACGCGTCCCAGCAAACCCCCGTCGTTCCCGTGCAGACCAGAAGCCACCAGGCTCCGTGGCCATGGCCAGTGGCACCTCACACCTGCCCGCCCGGGAACCCCAGTCACACGGGCCTCAGCTCAGGGTCTGCAGCAGCCCCACGAACACAGCCACGGATGTGGGGGGCTCAGTTTAACAAATTATGTTTGTAAGTGCAGCATGTGTTGTTCTAGAGGAAAACGAGAGGCTATTGGTCAAACTGCTGACTGCTAACAGAGCACTGAGAGCAAGGAACATGCTGAGTCTCCTCTGAACACGGCGCTCCTTCCCTACAAGAAAACCCCACAGCCCCGTGGAGGGCCCGCGCCCTTGGCTCAGGTGCGGCTGCAACAGGGACCCCCCTCAACCCAAGGGACAGGGCTCTGCAGCCACCTCCGGGTCAGATCTGGTGCCTGGCAGGCAGACGGAGTCTGGTGGGCATCACCCTGAGGTAGGCGGCCAGGCCTCACGGGGCGATCCTCGGCAGGCGCCCACCGCCCCTGCGGGGCTGGAGCCAGGCCAGGTGGCAGGACATTCTTTCCCAAGCAAACAGCGCTGTCGCATCGGCGTTCACAGTCAGGGAGGGGCAGCAGACCCGTGCTGGCCCAAACAGCGTTCCAGGGAATAAATCTTGCTACTCTGCTCATGTCTTATTGTCTCCAAAGCTCTATCTATGGGTGTTGTTTTGGAGATATTTATGCAACCAACAAAAGCAAACACTACAGACAGCCAGGCACAGAACCTACAAAGAGAAAGCCGGCAGCTGGGTCGTCACTCAGCGACCAGCGGAGGACGGCATCACACACCAGCTCCCGACAGGGGAGTCGGCCGTCCCTCCTGCGCAGTGAGGGAGGCCCCTGCCCAGCCAACAGCCCACACCCCCAGGCACCAGTTTCCCCATGATGGCGGCGGCCGGGAAGTGTTCTAAGATGCAGTGCAAATACTAAACTAGCTTCCAAAGAATCATCACAAACTCGTGTACTTACCTATCCTCTCCACAAAAACTGGTAGAAGAGTGAAGAAAACAATTTTCCACAATTTATTCCCCACAATCTTTAAACACCTGTGTTAACAAAAAGCTAAGTTACTAAATACAAACAAGCCTCGTTTTCGGCTGCAGCTGAGATGGAGGGGCACGTGCAGGCCGGCGCGCATCCTGAGGCCCCCACCCCTCCTTTCTGAGCAGAAGGAAGGCTTCGGTTCCGGGATAGCTTGTCAGGCCAGCTGCTGACCCCCTACCCTAACCACGCAGCCTGGGACGGAAAGGGTGGCCCTCTCCGAAGTGACCTCACCTGCAGTCCCCTGGAAGCCCCATAAAGGACAGCAGGACAGCAGGTCTGGTGCAGGCTGCCCCGCCGAGAACCATAGACGTAGGGTCCAGCAGGACCCTCCCTGCCCTCTGACGTCAGAGTTAACATTCAGCTCTCATTTACCGACCAGGAACTGCCTTGGTGAGGAGTGGCCCATGCAGGACACAGCCCCCCAAGTTTCTCTCCGTGTCATCTCCTGTCCTTGGTGAAGTATTAGAGAACAGGAGGGAACATTCGGTAAACAAGGCCACTGGAGGAAGCAGCTGCACCGTTCCAGAAGGCCTCCTGATAAAGAAGACAATATTCTTCTTCAGTTGGGAATTTCACATCTCGACTCCGCCTCCTGGATTTCTTCTCCTGCCTCGAGGACAGAAACAGGTTTTCCTCTTTCTTCGGGACTCCTCAGGCTCCTCTAAACGTATGCTGGAGGGTCTCAGAGTCCACGCCTGCTCCCAGAAGTCACACTATGCACCATCACAAATGGATCTCAGCACACCAAACATATGCAATTTCCCCCAACTATTCCCAAAAACACGGTTCAAGATTGGTTTGGTGAATGCGGATTAGACAGAAAACACACTCTAGTTTCCTAGCTTCATTCCAGAACTGCGTGGCACGAGAAATTCACAAATCGCATCACATAATTGTCGTCCCCTCGGACATGAGCTGCTGACCGGTGTACGACATAACAGGTTTAAAATCAGCTCTTACTGGACTGGACTCACTTCACATACACACAGACCCACGATCTTCATGCTATTACAATAATTTCATCTTCACAGTAAAAACGTCAGGAATTCCCAGAGAAACGGAGCATCAGCTATCTGTCTCTTGCGGGCGGGTCACGGTAACGACCACCCGTGTGCTAACGAAGAGCCGTTTACTCCAGAAGCTAAAACCCTCACGGAGGGAACTGGGAGTCCAGACGAAAAAGGCAGTGCACAGCGAAGCAGAGACCTCCTCCTCCAGGGAGAGCCCGCCCTTCCCAGGCAGGCCACGGGCCCCGGCCCAGAGCTCGGACACGGCAGATGCCCTCCAGCAAGGCCTCGCCAGGTCCCACACGCAGACGCCTCAGCGGGGACAGATGTGCTTCCAGAGGTGCTGGGCACAGCCCCAGGAAGCAGGGACAGACCTCGCAGGCTCACGCCTCAGCTGCAGAGTGACGGTACTGCGCTGGCTGGGCGGTCCCCGCCGTAGCCCCCACGGAAGGCTCGGCTCCTTGGCGCACCTGCCGGGCTCGGCGCGGGGCCGGTACAAAGTCTCCAATAATGAAGTCACTGTGGCGAGTCCCCGTAAGATTGCTCCTCGAGCAAACAGGGCTCAGGTGGATTCTTGTTTGTTTTAGGAAGTATCCAGAATTACAACTGGCCACTGAGTTTTTAAATATCATTTGAAACAAGGTAGTTTTAAAATGAAGAGAAAATATTGCAACACGAAGAAGGAATATATTAACTTGCTCTTCTAGTCCAGGCATCAGGCTTACTTCTTCTTCCTCCTTTCCTGAACGCACCGTGGACAGAACCTGAGGAGAAAGACGCGGTGATCGGCCCTGTGAGTGCAGAGGCCCACAGCCCGCCTCCCCGGGCCGCCAGGACGGCACCAGGGGAGAGTGCACAGAGCACGCGGCCCTCGCATCGGGAAACCCCCAGCGAGGGGGAGCCCCAGCAAGTCACCCTAGCCAGCACGTGTTTTGCAGTCAACAGATACGAATCAATGTGCAAGACTGTTTCTACGCACGAACACTGCTCACCATCAAGTTAACTGGTCGTCCCTGTGTGATGCCGGGGTCGTCAGTAATCAGAGTGGAGGCGACACCCACAGCCACGCTGGCGACCAGAGGGGCTGGCGACCAAGCGTGCAGAGCATGGTGCGCGGAGCATGGCGCGTGGCACACCCAGCCAGGCGGGCAGGCCGAGAGGGCCCTGGGACCTGCGTGATTAGCCAGTGCTCCTGGTGACCCTGGGCAAGCAGGGTCAGCGCCTCACACACAGGAGGCGGCCCTTGGTCACTCCTGGGCCAGGGCAGCTATGAGTGACACAGGGATCGTTCCTGCTGCTTGCCACCTCAGCCCTCCTGGCTCCCGATGCAGGAGGCAGCTGATGCCATGGGACGCGCCCACCCAGGCACCAGGCCGCCACTCGCCAGTGTATGCTCTGTGCCAGGGAGTGAGTGCTGAGCACGCTCATGCCGCTGCCCCAGAGGAAGCAAAGCTCCCCCAGCAAACACGCTCACATGCAGCTCGTGCAGCACCAACACGTATCCGAGCTTCAGTCCTACTTAACAGGGAAGGAGCCTGAACACTGACCCCAGAGAAACACGGAGTTAGACAGCAGGAGTGGGGCCCACCCGGCCTCCCCAACTCTGCTTGTCCTGCCCTGTTCCTAGTGCATGATGGGTGGACGCCCATCTGCACGGCCCGCCCAGAAGCAAAATGGTTTTCCATCGCCTATGGACTCTTCCACCCAGAAGTTCCACAAACAACTCAAACCCCTGTCCAAACTCAAATCAGATCTCCCTGCCTCGCGCCCCACCACAAGTCACACCTGCCCCACAGGTGGCCAGCAGCCCCCCCACCCCCCACCCCCCCGCTCAGGTGCCCGCCCTGCTGCAGGGCACCCCACCCCCGCTCAGGGGCGCGTCCCATGACTGCTCAGACTCCGAGGTGACCCGGTGCCGGGAATGCACATGGCTGCCGTCACCCACCGAAGCCCGGGACGACACAGCCTGTCCTTCAGGGCTTTCTCATCTCCTCTGGGGAACAAGATTCCCAAGATTTCATTTTAGGGCAGATGTCCATTTTAAGCACAGGTAAATAAAAACCTGGTGTTTATTTAAATGAAATCTCAGACCACAAAAGCTGCCATTGAGCACAAGGATCAGGAACAGAAAGTGCTCATGCGCTCTGAACACCTTCCCAATTAAATAGAAGCCCTTCGGCAGGTCCCTGGCCTGCGCCCAGGTTTGGATCAGTCTTAATGCTCACACTCTTTGCCTTTTCCCAAAATTGCTCCAGGGAAAAGAGCTCCCCATTTCACACTTGTTTTTAAGAGTATCTCTACCTCAATGCAAAGAGTCAAAACAGCTATTCTCTAGAAGAATCACGAAAACGTCATAGAAGACTTGCCCCCAGGTGAGGTGGCAGCAGGTGTCCCTCTACCAGCTCAGCCCCAGGAACCAGGAGTGCTGAACCGGAGTGCCGAGGCCACAGCCCGGCTCTGCCGGGAAGCAGTGCACAGGACGCCCCGCAGACAGGGAAGGACAGAGCAGTCCCCCGCATACTGACCATTTTCCTTTGGGTTTCGTGGTCAGATCCACACAGGCGAAGTGAAACCACTCAATAGGACACTGCAAGGCAGAGGGGAGGCCACAGTCAGGACTCTGCGCTCTGTGGGCTGGACACCAAAGACAACAGCCCCCACCCGCCACCCCCCACCGGGGCTGCAGGGCCCCGCCCATGGCCTGTGCCCAGCGCCCACACTCACGTCTGGGTTGTCACAGCCTATCATCTCCCCATAGGACACCTGGTGGCACAGGCAGTACGTGGGCTCATTTGGGTCCACAGGCATGTCCAGCACGTCGGAGGGGTGCACGGACAGGATGGTGTCGGTGAACTCAGACCTGCAGGGAAAGCACAGCAGTGAGTAGCAGGTGGGTGGGGATGGTGTGCCCCCTTGGTACAAGACAAGAGGGGTACAGAGGCACCCCAGAGGGTGTGAGGGGTAGCATGCACCACCCAGCACTGGGGTTTGGCACTCTGGGGACATGAATCCATCCCTGTCTTGTCCCTCCATCTGGACAGGACCTACTCCCTGGGCTCCCAGCCCACCCACCTCAGGTCCACCCTCCCCAGCCTCTTAGGGACCCTCTCCCTTGGGGGAGTCACACCCCCACTCACCAGCTGCCAGTTGATGCCATCTGAGACCCCTTGACCCCAACCCAGACTGATCCAGCTGCCTTCACCCGCACACCCAGTACCACCCCTCACATGCCCACAGCACCAGCACCCCAAAAGCCAGAAACCTCCAGATGCCCTCCCCATTCCTGGAGCCTTAAGTCTTGGGAGCCCCCTCCCACCCCCAGCTGCCCACCTGCCAGCAAGCCATTTCTGACCACAGGGCACCATCACCCACCCACCCCCGTGAAGCAGGCCTATTGCCCCCCACGCCCCACAGCCACCCTAGGTCACTAACCAGTGTCCAGACAGAATCCAGCCTGCCCATGCCTCCCTCCCTGTCGGCTGCCCACAGCTCTGCAGCCAAGCAGGTGGGAGAGCAGGCGGGGGAGCGTCTGCCTGCGTGAGAACAGGGAGGGCTGGGGTGTTCACTCTTTCCTGTGATTCAGTAGCTTTCAGATAAACCTGTCAGCTCCAGGGAAACGTAGACCGTACGCTCCAATCAGCAAAGAAAGGCCTCCCCACCTCACTCTCCAGAATCAAGAACACGTACGTAACTCAAATATGCAACTGCTGTGGGGACACAGCCAGTTCACACCAGGAACCTGAGGGGAAGCCAAGAAACTGCAGCAGGTCACAACTGTTGAAAACACCAAGTCTGGTCCCAAAAGCAATCGCCACCCCCTTTCTCCCATGTTGCCTGTGTAGAAACACTCCGTGCCTCTGCAGTCAGCTACCCAGGCTCAGCCATGCACCTCCATGTCACACTGCCCCCCCCACAGAGCGCCCTGCTCTGACCCAGCGCCCCCAGAGCGCCCTCCTCTGACCCAGCGCCCCCACAGAGCGCCCTCCTCTGACCCAGCACCCCCCCACAGAGTGCCCTCCTCTGACCCAGCGCCCCCCCATAGAGCGCCTTCCTCTGACCCAGCGCCCCCAGAGCGCCCTCCTCTGACCCAGCGCCCCCAGAGCGCCCTCCTCTGACCCAGCGCCCCCAGAGCGGCCTCCTCTGACCCAGTGCCCACACAGAGCGCCCTCCTCTGACCCAGCGCCCCCCCACAGAGCGCCCTCCTCTGACCCAGCGCCCCCAGAGCGCCCTCCTCTGACCCAGCGCCCCCACAGAGCGCCCTCCTCTGACCCAGCGCCCCCCCAGAGCGTCATCCTCTGACCCACCACCCCCACAGAGCGCCCTCCTCTGTCCCAGCGCCCACAGAGCGCCGTCCTCTGACCCAGCGCCCACAGAGCGCCCTCCTCTGACCCGGCGCCCCCACAGAGCGCCCTCCTCTGTCCCAGCGCCCCCACAGAGCGCCTTCCTCTGTCCCGGCACCCTCCTCTGACCCAGCGCCCCCACAGAGCGCCCTCCTCTGACCCAGCACCCCCCCCAGAGTGCCCTCCTCTGACCCAGCGCCCCCACAGAGCGCCCTCCTCTGACCCAGCACCCCCCCCAGAGTGCCCTCCTCTGACCCAGCGCCACCCCACAGAGCGCCCTCCTCTGACCCAGCACCCCCAGAGCGCCCTCCTCTGACCCAGCGCCCCCACAGAGCGCCCTCCTCTGACCCAGCACCACCCCACAGAACCCTCCTCTGACCCGGTGCCCCCCCACAGAGCGCCGTCCTCTGTCCCAGTGCCCCCAGAGCTCCCTCCTCTGACGCAGCAACCCCACAGAACGCCCTCCTCTGACCCAGTGCCCACAGAGGGCCCTCCTCTGACCCGGCGCCCCCCCAGAGCGCCATCCTCTGACCCAGCACCCCCACAGAGCGCCCTCCTCTGACCCAGCGTGCCCCCCCAGAGCGCCGTCCTCTGTCCCAGCGCCCAGAGCGCCCTCCTCTGACCCGGTGCCCCCCCACAGAGCGCCCTCCTCTGACCCGGTGCCCCCAGAGCGCCCTCCTCTGACCCGGTGCCCCCCCACAGAGCACCCTCCTCTGTCCCAGTGCCCCCAGAGCGCCCTCCTCTGACGCAGCAACCCCACAGAACGCCCTCCTCTGACCCAGTGCCCACAGAGGGCCCTCCTCTGACCCGGCGCCCCCCCAGAGCGCCATCCTCTGACCCGGCACCCCCACAGAGCGCCCTCCTCTGACCCGGCGCCCACAGAGCGCCCTCCTCTGACCCGGCGCCCCCACAGAGCGCCCTCCTCTGTCCCAGCACCCTCCTCTGACCCAGCGCCCCCCCAGAATGCCATCCTCTGACCCAGCGCCCCCCCACAGAGCGCCCTCCTCTGACCCAGCGCGCCCCCACAGAGCGCTCTCCTCTGTCCCAGTGCCCCCCCAGAGTGCCCTCCTCTGACCCGGCGCCCCCACAGAGCGCCCTCCTCTGACCCAGCATGCCCCCAGAGCGCCCTCCTCTGACCCAGCGCCCCCACAGAGCACCCTCCTCTGACCCAGAGCCCCCCCACAGAGCGCCGTACTCTGTCCCAGGGCCCCCCCAAGAGAGCGCCCTCCTCTGAACCGGTGCCCCCACAAAGCGCCCTCCTCTGACCCAGCGCCCCCACAGAGCGCCCTCCTCTGACCCAGCGCCCCCCCACAGAGCGCCCTCCTCTGACCCAGAGTCCCCCCACAGAGCACCATCCTCTGTCCCAGCGCCCCCAGAGCACCCTCCTCTGTCCCAGGGCCCCCCATAGCGCCCTCCTCTGTCCCAATGCCCCCCCACAGAGCACCATCCTCTGTCCCAGCGCCCCCCAGAGCGCGGTCCTCTGACCCAGCGCCCCCCCCAGAGCGCCCTCCTCTGTCCCAGTGCCCCCCCAGGGCCCCCTCCTCTGTCCCAGCATGCCCCCAGAGCTCCCTCCTCTGACCCAGCCCCCCGAGAGAGCCCTCTGTTCCAGTGCCCCCGCAGAGCATCCTCCTCTGTCCCAGTGCCCCCCCAGAGTGCCCTCCTGTCCCAGGGGCCCCCAGAGAGCGCCCTCCTGACCCAGCACACCCCCAGAGCACCGTCCTCTGACCCAGCGCCCCATCCAGAGTGCCCTCCTCTGTCCCAGCATGCCCCCAGAGCTCCCTCCTCTGACCCAGCCCCCGACAGAGCCCTCTGTTCCAGCGCCCCCCCAGAGCGCCCTCCATTTCAGCGCCCCCCCCAGAGGTGCCCTCCTGTCCCAGCACCCCCCCAGAGAGTGCCCTCCTCTGTCCCAGCGCCCCCCCAGGGCCCCCTCCACTGTGCCAGCACCCCGCCCAGAGCACCCTCCTCTGTGCCAGCGCCCCGCCAGAGCGCCCCCCTGTGCCAGTGCCCCCCCGAGCGCCCTCCTCTGACCCAGCGCCCCCCCCAGAGCGCCCTCCTCTGACCCAGCACCCCCACACAGCGCCCTCCTGACCCAGCACCCCCACACAGCGCCCTCCTGACCCAGCGCCCCCCTAGAGCACCCTCCTCTATCCCAGTGCCCCCCCCAGAGCGCCCTCCTCTGACCCAGTGCCCCCCCAGAGCGCCCTCCTGTCCCAGGGCCCCCCAGAGAGTGCCCTCCTGACCCAGCACGCCCCCAGAGCGCCGTCCTCTGACCCAGCACCCCATCCAGAGTGCCCTCCTCTGTCCCAGCGTGCCCCTAGAGCTCCCTCCTCTGACCCAGCCCCCCAAGAGAGCCCTCAGTTCCAGCGCCCCCCCAGAGCACCCTCCTGTCCCAGCGCCCCCCCAGAGAGTGCCCTCCTCTGTTCCAGCGCCCCCCGAGCGCCCTCCTCTGACCCAGCGCCCCCCCAGAGTGCCATCCTCTGTCCCAGCACCCAGCGCCATCTTCTGTCCCAGCAGCCCCCCCAGAGCACCCTCCTCTGACCCAGCGCCCCCCCAGAGATCACCCTCCTCTGACCCAGTGCCCCCCCAGAGAGCACCGTCCTGTCCCAGCGCCCCCCCCGAGCACCGTCCTGACCCAGCGCCCCCCCCAGAGCCCCCTCCTGTCCCAGCAGCCCCCCCAGAGCGCCCTCCTCTGACCCAGCGCCCCCCCCAAAGAGCACCATCCTCTGTCCCAGCACCCCCCCAGAGCACCCTCCTCTGACCCAGCACCCCCCCCAGAGCACCGTCCTCTGACCCAGCGCCCCCCCCAGAGAGCACCATCCTCTGTCCCAGCACCCCCCCAGAGCACCCTCCTCTGACCCAGCACCCCCCCCCAGAGCGCCATCCTCTGTCCCAGCACCCAGCGCCATCTTCTGTCCCAGCAGGCCCCCCAGAGCACCCTCCTCTGACCCAGCGCCCCCCCAGAGATCACCCTCCTCTGACCCAGCGCCCCCCCAGAGAGCACCGTCCTCTGTCCCAGCGCCCCCCCAGAGCACTGGCCTCTGACCCAACGCCCCCCCCGAACACCGTCCTGACCCAGCGCCCCCCCAGAGCCCCCTCCTCTGTCCCAGCAGCCCCCCCAGAGCGCCCTCCTCTGACCCAGCGTCCCCCCAAAGAGCACCATCCTCTGTCCCAGCACCCCCCCAGAGCACCCTCCTCTGACCCAGCACCCCCCCCAGAGCACCGTCCTCTGTCCCAGCAGCCCCCCCAGACCACCCTCCTCTGACCCAGCGCCCCCCCAAAAGCATTGTCTTCTGTCCCAGCGCCCCCCCCCCCCAGAGCGCCGCCCTCTGACCCAGTGCTCCCCCCGCAGAGAGAGTCGCCCCCGGGGCCCTTGGGGTGAGTGCTGCCCGCCAGAGCAAGTGATGTCCCTGAAGGCCCCAGAGCCTGTGGGAGCCTCTTCCCTCCATAGGTGAGCTGCTCTGTCTCTGGGAACATGGGGACTTTCTCTTTTTATCTGAAATCTGCAGCATCACAAAATGCA